GTCCCTGTAGTCCGGGGGGGGGGGCCCTTGTAATCTGGGAGATGGGCCTTGTAGTCCCGGGGGGTGGGGGGGGCCTTGTAGTCCAGTGAGGGCGCCCTTGTAGTCCAGGGGGCCCTTTCACTCCGGGGGCAAAAAGTATTGAGGCACTCAGAGTACAGTGGAAACCCATGCCAAGAAACACCATGCTTGCCTGCAGGGTGCCATGGATGGCTTGGGCGTCGATGGTTTGGCGACGGGAAGCGTGGCGCTTCCACGCCAAAGATCAATGGAACGTCCTGGGGTCCAGGGGTTCGGGTTGCTTGTGGAAGGTGTCTTGTGCTCGAGCTCCTAGTGCAAGGAGGGAGGACGGGAGCATGGATGGAGGGGAGAGAGGAGGGAACGGAGGGAGGGACAGGCCATCATCGATGCCCACTCACAGTCTCATTCTTGGGGACCGTGGGATCTGAACCGCACGGGGGAGGTTCATTGGCACCCAGTCGGCGCTCCTTCCTGCTCCGACCCGCCCACAGTCAAGGCCACTCATACTACGCTATTCCTTCTCAGATCCGCTCGCACTCTGGGCCACTCACGCCAAGACTCACTCGAATCCTGCCGTTTCCACCAAGACTCACTCATAAAACGACTCGCGGATAGTCACATCCACAGTCCTGGAGCTTCCTGGCGCCTCCGGGGGTTTCGTGCAGCCTCCCTGGGGGCTCCCTCGGCGTCGTGGTGCACCATGGGATCTCATGGGGTCTCCTTCAGAGGCAGAGCCTCACCTTGCCATGATGCCCAACGCCTTTAACACACAAGACACTGGTTTTCGCTATTTCTGCCTCCGGGTGGCATGTCTTCATTCTGGGATCATCAGCCCAAGAACGAAAGAGGGACGTAAACGTACCTGCATCCACGTTGGCTTCGAGAGCACGCATTGCGCGAACCTTCGTATCACTCGGCAGGTCCCGCGGATCGGGGGGCCGTGTTCCTGTACGTGGGTGGGCGCGTACGTCTTTTGGGGGCTCCCTATCCACCACGGCCCCGGATTGGATTCCGGCTTGCAGGAAGGGGCCCAGGGGCCCAGGATCCCCGCAATTGCAACTCAACATGCTGTAGGAGGTGTGGGTGCTCTTCTGCCCGCCCCCTTCCCTCGCCCCTCTCCCCCCGCTCTGCGTTGGCCGAATTCCCATCCCACCCTCAGAGCTTGCTTCGATTCCTCCGGTTCGATTCGATTCCGATGACCGATGGCTTCCGATTCCGATTCGGTTGCGGATGCCGATTGGGGTTCTGATTTCTGAATGGAGGCCTGCAAGCCTGCCGATTTCCGCCGAATCGACCTCTCTCGACTCGTTTTTTCTTCCGACGCTACACCCAATCAGATTCGGTTGGATATCTTGCGATTGGGCTCGACGAAAAAAACGCATTCGCGGCACAGCAGCTTCTCCGAATACCAAGGCACATAATACCACGGCACAGAAAGCCAATACCCTTCGAATTGTGCTGGAGCCCGAAGGGGGCGCCGAGACAGGGATGACGAGTCGCTGAAAGCAACCAAAACCGTGATTCTGCACTCGAGCACCCCCTAATCTGAGGGGATGGCACGGCGAGAACAGCCACCACATAGCCCTCTAGCTATGCGGCGGGCCTCGTCGCGCCAAGGTCACCCAGACTGGGAGACCGTCGAGCTAAAGACGGGCAGCAAAGCTGTCCCAAACGACTTCGAATTACAGAGCACACCGAACCAGAAAAGCCAACGGACGCCAAGCGGAGGGGCGAGCAGGACAGGGGGGAAGTGGCTGGCAGCTGTGTATCACCGCAGACGGCGGCCGCATAATCCCAAGAAGGCCCTAAGACGGTCGTGAGCCCCTCCAGGAGGGCACCAACGCGGCCGAGAGACCCCCAAGGCGGCCACCATAGGCGTCTGACGTGCCAGGAGTCCCCTAAGACAGCCAAAGAGGCCTCAAGAGGCCCCCAAGAGGGCCCCAAGAGGCCCCCAAGAAGCTTTCAAGGCTAGTCCGAATCACTCCCACCAGTTGGCGGTGCCGAGGCTGTGGACCATCCGAGTAGCATGGGCAACGCGCTGGCCTGCGAAATCAAGTGTCTATCCCATGCAGGGCAGCCGAAGCACCGGCTGAGCATCTATCCCAAGAAGGACGGCTGAGCACCGACGCGCCTTGACGAAGCAGTAAAGGAATAACCAGTAAATGGTACCAACTCGGATACTAGCGCCTGGGACCGCCGAATGCGATGCATCACCGTAAGAGCCAAGCAGAGACGTGGACGAAGTAGAGGAGCAGCAGCAATCCAACAAGTAAGCGGTTTATGTCGGCAACATCTTACGGGCAGAAGGCATGCTCGAGGAAATTTCCAGTAGAATTGGGACTGCGGTTGCTCTCTAATTGGCAGCGTAGGCGACCATGGAAGAGAATTCCCTCCATGAGCTTCACCGCCCAACTTCCGGCCCACATAACCACCCATGGGCCCTTAACTCCCGCACGAACGGGCCTCCGTGGAACACCGACTCGCTGTTCGCAGAGGTCGGGCCGCCTCACCTCGCTGGCGTACACCCTAGGCGATGCTTAAGAAAACCTAAGTTTTCGTCCAGAGTCTCGATGATTCTTAATGTTCCAGTGTAAATCCTCAGAATTAAATGGAATTCCTGTGTTTATATCAAATTCTGAGACTATGAATTTCTCAACCCATGATTTCTTAAGCATTTCGCAGGGTGTAGAACCTGCTAGCAGTGTCCAGCCGCGCCACAGGCATCGCACATGGCAGGTCTGGCTGGGTACAGGCGCTGGCCACAGCTAGAGGGTGACCTGCGACCCACCGCTCCCCTGAGGATCGCCACCCACCAAACCACCCCAACCCAACCCGAAGGCTCAGATTTACCCTCGATTTCCAGTGGGGGGGGGGTCCGGGAACATCGAAAAAACACGTATGGAGCCCATACCCCCCCCCCAACCCGAAATTCGGGTCTTCGGGTTGGGTTGGGGTGGTCTGGTAGGTAGTCGAGGAGGCAAGCGGATCCTTGAGCCGCCGAGGCTGCCCGACTCGGCTGCCGACTTCCGCCGATCGGACTCACATCGATCGCCGATCCGACTCATCGATCCGACTCTGGGCTCTCCTGCCCTCGCCGCTTGCCCCAGCTCTTACACTTCTGTCCCTGCCCTCGCCCCCCCCCGCCCGACCCCAATGCGACTCGTCTGCAGGCATCTTGCCTCGGGTCCCTCCGGCGTAGCGTGTATGTCGTCGTGGCCGAGGCCAGGAGGGCGCATACCCGACTGGGCTTGGACGAGGACGATTCCGTTCCAGAGCGTTCCAGAACGCTCTCAGAGCGTTCCAGAACGCTTTGAGAAGGCCGCGTTGCCCGAAACATCTTCCAGAGGCGCGTGGCTTCGGAGATCCTCGATTTATCCTCACCCGATGTGTTCCTGGTCTTGGCTTCGTCTTAGCATACACACCGTCATCAGACGAAGAAAGCATTGCATAAGCATCAGCATCAGCATCGTCATCATCATCATCATCATCATCAGCAGCAGCAGCAGCATCATCATCAGCAGCACAATCAGCATCAGCATCATCATCATCATCATCATCATCATCATCATCATCATCATCATCATCATTTGTCGGTCCGCGCGGATCTCCTGGGTCATCGCCAGACCTTCTCTCCCTCGGCTTCCCCTTGCCTGCCCACTGGGAGATGGTGGACAGCGACGACGAGTGGGCCCTGTCGGTGAGGAGGTCCTCGACCTGGATCGGGTTCGGGCGAATGGGTCCTCTGCAGTAGTTCTCGAACATGTACGCAGTAGTTCGTGCAATCGTTCGTGCTGGATCGTATTGGATGCGGACAGAATTGGTTGCATTTGGCGTCGCTGGTCCGTGAGACAGGCCACGCGCCATGCGCCAGAGGATAAACTATTACCATTTTTGTGGTACACCATTGGACCCCCTTTGCCAGGAACCAATAGAACACCGACGGTGGGGGGGCAAGGGGATGCAGGAGGCCTTCGCTCCAGTCTGATGGTGTTCGTTCCCGCGGACTCTTTCCAGCCGGCGCCCACCACATCTTCCGTGTCGCCCGCTCCGATCGAAGCCCAGTGTTGACCAGGCCAAATGCCACGTGGCCAGCTAAGTTCGCTCGTTCTCTCTCCCTCTCTCTCGCTTCCTCTCTCTTTCTCCACCTCTCTCTCTCTCTCTGAGTGTGGTCGGGCAGTATTCTTTGATCGTCAGGGCGTCTCGGGTCGTCGATGAGGCTCGGCCTTCTCGGTCCCATACCTCTTGCTGCGTAAGAGAAGCTCACGCGCGCCCAGCAGTTGAATTTGGAGCCACTGGCTGTTCGCCAGACGCGAAGTTGGTTGACGCAGAGGGCGAGTGAGAACCCCCAGTGCAATGTGTTTTTTCTTGATGTGGCCGTCGACATGCATCGTCCTCCCCAGTGAGTGTCCTGGATGGTCGACCCAAGGGTAACTGAAGGCATCGACTGGCTTGAAAGGGCGCCGCACTTTTTGTTTGGAATTTCTGCGGGAGGGAGGCAGTGAGGGAGAGAAGGAGAGGAGAGGAGAGGAGAGGAGAGGAGAGGAGAGGAGAGGAGAGGAGAGGAGAGGAGAGGAGAGGAGAGAAGAAGAGAGAAGAAGAGGAGGAGGAGGAGGAGGAGGAGGAAGGGACGACTTCCAGTCGCGCTCCCTCGTCCCCCCCGTGCACGCGGACGCCCCACGTGTTGGGTGGGGGGCCAGGGTTTCCCCCCGCAGTTTCCCCCTCTCCCCCTTCAGTCGGGCATGTCCCTCCACGGGAGGAGTATTCAAAAACAGTCAAAGAATAGTATGGGGACGATTTTTTGGTATTTGTTTCGTATATGGTTAAATTGTATTGAATAATGATATAGGTTTCATAGATGTATATATATATATATATGTATATATAAATATAGTTGGTTTGATATGTTCCAATGTTTGAAGTATGTTTGGATATGTGTTTGGCACCTTGTCCTTATTCCCCCGAGTCCACCTGTAGGTGGACATACCTGACCCAAGCACACGCGAACGCCCCCCGCTTTGGGCGGGGGACCAGGGCTGCCCCCCGCATTCCCCCCGCCCTCCCCTCGCAGATCCACCGCCGGACCCCCCGAGAGTCTGGAGACCCCGAGGTGGCCTCAGCGCACCGCATGACGTCCCAAGAGGAAGCATTCGTCCAACATGTCGTCTAAGTTTCGTTTCTCCCCCGCATCGGACACGAAGCGACGATCTCGCAAGGCTATGCCCGAAAACCATGCATAGGTGAAACGCGGCGCAACGACGAGCAGGCTAAGCAGCGCCAAAGGAGGAGAAGGAGGAGGAGGAGGAGGCGGGAGGAGGAGGAGGAGGAGGAGGCGGGAGTGGGATTCATCATGTGACTCACCATGCGTGTCTACACCGTCGACGGCACAGGTATCCATGAGCACCGAGGGCCTCGTGGGGCGCCTTTGGATGGACCAACCGAGTAACATCGTAGACACCCGCGACAGCATCCCTGTGGGTACACTTGGACACAACTTCTGGCGATTGCAAGTACAGTTGCCACAAAAACGTCAAGATGTGTGCTTCCCCTGAGCCAAGGTATGCGTATCATAATTTCGTCTAATCGCAAGCTGTGGCAAGCCCATCGTTGACCACCCGCTGTTTCTCAGCTGCATTCGCTAAATGCGGAACCCCCACCTGCGCAAAACTCATCGCAAGGTGTGGCAACCTCACCTGCGCTCGACTGCGCCCGCGTTACAGCACCTCATTCTGAACACCCGACGGCGTCATTCCAGACTGCCTCACAAGAGTGCTCACAGGAATGGCCAGCTCCCCGCCGCTCCCGCATTGATTTGTGAGACTGGGCATGCACTTGCCACTGGTGCACGTGCATATATTAACATTTATGTGGTGTAGATTCATGCTATGTTTTTATACATGTACATATACACATATATATGTATATATATACACATCGTAGTACAGTTGTACATGTGCAAATGTATACATAGGTATGTGTGTGCGCATCTGTAGATGTATACGCCGCGTGGAAACTCGTTCGCACCTGCGCGCACATGCACCTGGCCATGAACAAGATAGGGCTTTTCCTGGCGCAGCCAGGACGGCCTCTTCCTGGGGTTGGCGACCCGCTCCTTTCCCCAGCGCGCTGGGAGAGAGGATCGCAGGTCAGCACATATCTTTGAGCTGCAGCTGGAATGTGTAACTAGGGGAAGGGAAAGTGACATAAACATAAAAACTCGGAGGTCCGCGCAGATTTCTCGGATCGGCGCTGGGCCCCCCGGCGGCGCCTCCGGCGCCGCCCCTGGCGCGCTCTGCGCACCAGGGAGGGGGGTCCAGCGTCGATCCTAGAAATCCGCGCGGACCTCCGGGTTTCCATGTTTATGTCACTTTTTGCTCCCCCAGCAACGCAGTCTCTATTCCCAGCGTCCTCCACGGGGTGTGCAGGATTTGTCCGCCCACACGTCGTTGCCCTGCTCGCTGCCGTCCGGTGGCCGCCCGGCTCAGGACAGTGTGTGTGTGTGTGTGTGTGTGTGTCAGCTACTCTAAGGGTGACCCTTCGCCGGGGTGGCCTTTTGGTGCGAGCTCATCGGGGCCCCCGCCCCGATCGCTGAGCGCGATGCGACAGCGGCCGACTGCGCGCTTGGACTTGGCCACCCCGCGCCCCGTGAGGCCCCGCACCAAAAGCCGCTCTCTGCCCAGGGTCACTCCTCGCGTGTGGCCGAAGGTGTCCGCGTGGACACCTGGGCGTGCGTAGTCGCAAATGTGTGCTCCTCGCCACCGCGAGGGCGTGCAGCATGCGCGGGCGCCCGCGCAGCACATGCTGCAGGTGCCTGCTCACGCGTCGGCACGCCCGCTGTGACAGCGACTGTCACACGGTGTGCTGAGCGCGCGCACGACGGGCGCCCACGTGTACGTGCACGCACACACGCCAATCGAAAACGAAACCTTGTGTCCATCGTGTCCTGCGTGTGTTCATGTCTCTTTCTCTCTCTCTCTCTCTCTCTCTCTCCCTCCTCTCTCCCTTTCGTGCAATCTGCCCCTCTCTTTTTTTTCAGTGGCACTTGCTCAGGAGCGCTGGCGCCAGATCTTCGGCCAGATCGTCTGTGTCCGAGGAGGTCCGCCAGAGGGAAAGCGGAAGATCTCCAGCTGACGCAGTTGTTTCATATTGGGGCATGGGATGAGCATAGCAGGCAACACGATGAATGTGATGGTCAAGCACACGGTGCTAGATTTTGAGATGTAATCATGAGAGGGGCAATGGCACTACATATTCTGAGCAGGCCGTGACTGTGCTTGATGAAGCCGATGGCCGGGATGACGACAGTGACGATGACAACGGTGATGAATTGGATGTGATGTTGAGACAGATGGTGACGATTACGATGCTGCATTTGGTCGCGATTCTTCGCCAACAGGGATTGACTGCCAAGCCATTCTCAAGGAGCAAAGCTCTCGGAGACTAGCACGGAGGCAGGACAAGCTGCAGCAGGTGCTGGCGAGCAATGCAAGACTCTCCGCCAGCAGAAGGGGCGCCCAACTCTGCAGGAAGTTCGGTGGAGTCGGGGACGAGCGCCCCCGCCTTTCCCCCAAAAGCTTAATAATACCTTTGAGACCACCATGCGGGTTCGATGTTGAACGGCTTGCGTTCGCGAACCACGGGACAAGCATCGGTGGCTTACATTCGCGAGCTACGGACAACCATCGGGACAGACACAGGTTTTCAAGCCGCTGGATGTCTGAGCTCCTCTTCTTCCCGAAGGTCACCGGGGTGGGGTCCCCCCAAGTTCTAGCGGGGGTCTACGGGAGCCCAGAGTTTCCGGAGGCCCCCATAGGATCTTTGAAAGCGCAGGAGGAGCCCGAAGCATCAAAAAACATTATTCCAACGCTAGGACCCCACATGAGAATCCTCCGAAGTGGTTTGGAAGTGAGCCTCACCGTCGTCCCCGTGATAATGGAGACCCTCTTCCAGTCTCCCCCCCTCGCCCTTTCATCACCGCTCTGGCGGAGGCCTTCCTCCCGCCCCCTGCTCGGCCTGGACTTCCGTTCCCTCTTCCCCCGCTCCTCTTCCTTATATAAGTAACTCTTCCACATCGCACCCAAAAGGCCTGCCGAAAGGGCGGGCCAGACGTTTCGCCTGAAGCTTCCTCACCAGTTATGACCCTGCAGCTTGAAGTTGGCAACTGTTTCACGGATGGAGGGCGGGTGGTTTTCAGCATGTGGCTCTCTCTTTTGCGCCGCGCACGCTCGTGCAACACACTTGCATGAGTTTCACGGATTGAAGGCGGGTGATTTTCAACATGTGGTTCCCGCTCCAGGGTTGCTAAGCATTTGCAAGAGCTTCACGGTTTGAGAGCGGGCTTGTTTTCAAAATGTGGTTCTCGCCCTAGCACCGCGCACATTCGCTTTAAACATTTGCAAAATCTTCAGGGCGGCTCGTTTTCAGAATGTGGTTCTCGCCTTGCGCCGCTCACATTCGTTGTAAAAACGTACAACTGTTTCACGGTTGAGGGCGGGTGTTTTTCAAGAGGTGGTTCTCGCCCCAGCGCCGCGCGCATTCGCTCAGCAAATCTTAAGCGTTTCACGGATTCCCTTGGTCAGCATTTCAGAACAGTGTTCTGGAAGGACTCCAGATTGCGAGGGCGCAACATGTATGTTGATTCGCGGTGTTCAAGTCACAGGAATGGTTTTCTGACGCGATTCCGGATCGCCGAGACAGCAGTCATGTTGATTCGTGGCGTTGAAGTCCCGAGAATGGTGTTTTGACAGTTTCAGGGACTTCAACGGGTTGTCTCCCAACGAGGCGGATCCTTCAGTGGAAATGGACCCTTTGTAGGAGCCTGTGAAGAGGGAGCTTGGAGAGAGAGTTTATTCCAACATCGTTGATGAGCCTTTGGTGTACACTGGTCCTCTCCTCCTCGTCCTCCTCCTCCTCCTCTCAATCCCCCTTCCTCTTCGTCCTGCTTCTCCTTGTCCTCCTCGACGTCCTACTATTCCTCCTCCTCCGAATCACCATCATCATCTTCCTCCTCCTCCTCCTCCACCTCCTTCACCTCCTAATCCCCATCCTCCTCCCCCTCCTCCACCTCCTCCTCCCTCTGCCTCCTCCTCCTCCTCATCCTCATCCTCCTCCTCCTGCTCCTCCTCCTGCTTCTCCTCGTGCGCCGCCTCCCCCGCGCCCCCTGCACGGGAACACATGCCGATGTTCCTCCGCGCCGTTGCCGCCGTGCCGGCCGTGGCGCGTGCCCCGACAGCCAGACTGCGAAGCCCAGGTCATTGAGAAAGTTCCCGCGGGCCGCTGGGGCGCTAGATCAAGCCGTTGGGCCAACCCCAACACAGACAGGATCCGGATGACAATTACATGGTTTGGTTGACCCTCTCGGATCACTCGCATGATTTGGCGGCCCCATGAGGAGGAGGCTCCCGCCTTCGGCTTCCTCACAATTCACTCACCGACGAGGTTCCCATTCGAGACTTCCTCCACTCCAGATCCACGCATCAAGGACCCCAAAGTGACGTCAGCTATTGGGTTCCGATGTCCCGCCCGGATTACCTACGTGAAGTACTAGCCCCAGAGGGACCCGAGACCTCTTCGCGTTTCACTCACAGACGAAGCTCCCGCTCGAAATTTCCGCCATATGATTGGTGGTGATTCAGTGCGGTGCTTGGTAAAGTTTCCTTGTGACCCGTTCGGGTTATTTACGTGCAGTGTCGGCACATCGGAACAGACCCCCGCCTGATATTCCCTCGCGTTCCATTCATTGGCAGGGCCCCCGCGTGATAAACCCTCGCGATGGTCCCCTTGGGGCGCTCGAGTGCTATGCCCCGTAGTGTTTGCTGATGACCCTCTCGGATTGGTCACATGAAGCGCGGGCCCCGCAGGAAGGGGGCTCCCGCTCGACACGTCCTTGCGCTTCATTTACAGATGAAGCCCCCGTTTGAAATGTCCTCAGCATTTGCCCCCTGGGGTGCTCAAGTGCTTTGCCCCGTAGAGTTTGCCGGTGACCCCTCGGAGCAGTAATGTGATTTAAGGGGTTCCTGCTTGAGACTTCCTCCCTATCCACTCATACGCGAAGCCCCCGCTTGAGACATCCTCGCGAGTTGCCCCCTTGGGGTGCTCTGGTGCGCTACCTGGTCGAGTTTGCCGACGACCCGCTCGGATTAGTTGCACGAAGTGCGGGCCTTATAATGAGGGGGGTCCAGCTCGAGACTTCCTCGCCATTCACTCACTAGACGAGGCCCCCGCTCGGATCAGATGACCCGATCAGGTTGATACCACGAGGCGGGGAGCCCATACGGAGGGGCTCATGGTGATGAGAAGGATGATGAAGGAGGGTGGGGAGGAGGAGGAGGAGGAGGAGGAGGAGAGGAGGAGGGAAACATGAGGAGGAGAAGGAGGAAGAGGAGGAGGGAAGAAGGAGGAGGAGGAGGCAAGGGGAAGCACGTGAGTGTCAGTGCCAGAGTGAGTGGTAATGATCTTGATGATGATGATGATGATGATGATGATGATGATGATGATGATGATGATGATGATGGTGATAGTGACGGAGATGGTGTGGAGATGCTGATGGTGGTGCTGAGTGGTAGAACGCGAAATGGTGATGGCGATGATGGTGTGATGATGATAGTTATGATGATCTTGATGATGATGAGGAGGAGGAGAAGGATGACGATGATGATGATGATGATGATGATGATGATGATGATGATTATGATTATGATTATGATGATGATGCTGATGATGACGGTGATGATGGTGACGATCGTGGTGATGATGCTGATGATGCTGATGCTGATGCTGACGATGAAGAACACGATAGAGAACATGATGAATATGATGATGATGATGACGACGATGACGATGATGACGATGATGACGATGATGACGATGATGATGATGATGATGATGATGATGATGATGATGATGATGATGATGATGATGATGATGAAGATGATGATGATGATGATGACGGCGATGTGGGGGTGTTATTGGTCTTGCGCGGGGTGCCCAGAGAAAGCAAGATAGAGTGTGGGGAAATTGAAATTCGATCCTCCCTCCCTCCCCTCCCCTGGAGGTACATCAGAATATGCTCATGCACCGATCTTGGCCAGGCCCACCCTGGGCCCAGGATAGGTGCAGACGCCCTCCTGGTTCGGCTCACGCTTGTTCCACACGGGGCCCAGGGAAGTCCCGACCTTTTCCGCAGAGCTAGGTCTTCGTCCCCAGTGTTTTTCTGACGGTCCCGAGGCCCGGCGAGGCCCCCCCCCGGAGGCCCACCCGCTGTTTTTGTTCCATGAGGCGAGCATGTCTGGGATTTTTGCTCCATGAGGCGAGCATGTTGGGGACCTTTTCTCCGGGCCTGCCTAGTAGAGAGCTTGCGCTGCGCGCGCATGTCAGGAATCCGTTGGCGTTCCTTCTGGGTCATGCTGTCTGCTCCCAGGGGAGAAGGCAGATGGAGCGGGCTTTTCTAAAAGGCTCAGAAGGCCTCCGGCCTTTTGAGAAGATTGCGGGACCTTCTCCGTAGCCCCGCCGTTTTCCGACAAAGTCTGCCCCCCCTCACTTCCCTCCTCGGCGCGCCGCCGAGAAGGAGAATCCTGCGGCCACGCGCCAATGGGGGGAGGGAGAGGGGGGAAGCTTCTAAAAAAAGCACCCCTGCTTCTTAGGAGGCGAGGGCGTTGTCTGTAGATGCCGGGCCGGCGCCTTCTGAGAAGCGGCCTCCTTCTAAAACCACCTCCCCCCCTCCCCCCCCCCCCGTCTGCGCGCCGGCGAGAAAAAAAGACAGCCGTATTCGCGGCCTGGCGGGCTGGGCCCCTGGGCCGCGACCCCGCGGCTGCGGGGCGCGTCTGCGCGGCTGCCCCGCGCCGAGCGGGTCCGTGCGAACGTGCGTCCGCGAGGGCGCGTCCCATCAGAGCCCCCTCCCCCTCCCCCTCCCCCTCCCCTCCTCCTCCTCCTCCTCCTCCTCCTCCTCCTCCTCCTCCTCCTCCTCCTCCTCCTCCTCCTCCTCCTCCTCCTCCTCCTCCTCCTCCTCCTGGGCGTCCAGAGCCCCACATCATCAGGGGTAGCTCGGGTCAGGGCTAACTCGGGTTCCTTTTTCGGGAGTCCAGACCCGAGTTACCCCGGACCCGAGTTACCCCGGATGACTCGGGCGCCCAATCCCAGAATCCCGACCGCGAGGGCGCGGATACGGATGTGCTCGCCTCTCGTGGAGTTCAGTCTGGCGTGTCCCTCTACAGGAGGAGAGCGATATTCGAGAAGAGTCGTCCACAAACAGTCCGGGGACGATTTTTTTCGAGCATTTTTTGTGCTACTTCTGGTGCGTCTGCATCCTTAACTTTTCGCCCGAAATCCCCCTGTCGGGCACAGGCCCGACCTAATCTCGGGCCGGGCGAAAGGGGGGGATTGGGAAAGGGGGGGGTACGAAATTTGCTGCATGCAGCCGGCTTCGGCTTCACCGAGGGGCCCATTCCTCGATACACATAGCCGCCTCCGGCGCCGGGAGGCGCCTG